CCGAAAATGCTTGTGAACGTCTTATGAACTTAATTTGCTAGATGGTTTAATGAAGGATTGAATTCAATATCTGTTTTATGCAAAAATGTTTATGCAACTATATATATATATAGATATAAACGCATTGCATGCATTGAAATGCTCGGAACCTGATTAAGTAATTTAATAAACGATAATGATTAACGGATAATCTAAATTAATGCCTCGCCAAGCAATTTTATTGGCCATCACATGGGCAGACAAACAAGAAATGCAAAAATTACGGTTTTGATATAACAATTAAAAAACTAAATATAGTGAATCAAAAACGTAGCTATATACTATCAAAAATGTAACCTTTGTATTATTACCATTATTAAACATTAAATATTCTCCGACATGCTCCGAAAAATTTTAAAAAATTTACAATTTAAATAAATTATAGAAATCAATGGTAGGATCAAGTTCACGTAATAAATAGTATATATTAAATAACATATATGTCATTAATTAAATCAGCATAGAAATAAACCCGAGCCAAATAATAACGAAGGTCCAAATCAATCCCATACACATGGATAAATTCACACTACCCGCATTAGATGTAGAAGGCATATCACTGTTAAAAACTCCGGGATCAACGATAGTTGTCGAAGGAGCAACAGGTGCTGTAGGACAACTAGAAGGCGTAGAACTAAGAACGGCTAAAGCAGGATACTTTACACCAGATGTGAACGATATGCTATAAGAAAACTTTGTTTCACAAGCATTAGGATTCGACACAGCCAAACATAAAACATTCAAAACACTAAAAGTTTGAGGGGTAGGCGAGCAACTAAGAACCGGTTCATTAGCGCATGATAAATTAGCAATATAAATAAAAGAAGCACTATTAGGATCGGCAAACTGACGAGCGCCAGAATAATTTGTGGCGAAAGTTAAAATGCCGAATTGAGGAAAAGAACCAGGCCGATGAGCCAGCATGGTTAAACCGGCATTATCATTTGGAATTGCAGAGTTCGGTACTACTGATATTGAATAATCTAAAGAATTAAAATAAAATTAAAATAAAATATATA